ATGGTTTAATTAAGGTGATTTTTCACTGAAAGTAATTTTTTTCCCCCAAATCTAAATGCAAGAGCACTGCTGTTAAGATACATATTGAAATTTATTTTAAAGCCCAGACTATCGAAAAAGAGGGTTCCTGTTTTAGTATGTTGCCTCAATTTGATTCCTTAGGGTATAACAACGATTAGTACGGTTAAGCCGAAACAACATATTGCTTTTTTTTAATCCCAAAAGAAGGGAACAATGACGCAAGCCAGGAAACAGAACTAAGGGTTAGATCTAGATTGAGAAACTATTTTATTCTTTTCTTCAGCAGAAAAAAAGAATGTTGAGATTATTACCTTGGAGGCCTGCATACTTCAGTGGTGACCAGTTTGGTATATTATAACAACCTCCGCCATCTTCTTGTTCTTCTGCCTCACACCTATATAGTACTTGATTTAGGTCAGCCAAAGTTAGTTTAGATGCAATACTGGAAAAAAAGGGGAGAAAAAAAAAAAAACCTAAACAAACCCCAAAGCAATATTAATAGAGAAATGTTTTCACAAACAAGTTTAGTTTATATTTAATTATTTTAGCTTAAATATGATACTATATACAACTCTCCCATCACTTGAGTCTTTAAAATTAAGAGTCTGACTCTCCAGCAGTGCTAAGCAATTCTGCTCAGAGTTTAAGTATTTAGAAATACGGATTTAAGAGATTAAGTATTGATCCTTAACAAACATATCCCAACAATGACAAGCACCCTATGTTAGGAAACCTACTTTAAGCACCAGTTGCCCAGAACCTGAACAACAGACCCTGGGAATCTTCTGTTAACCCCTTTTAATACCACATATATAAAAATAACATCTAAGAATTTTTACTTACACTCCAATAATCCAAATCCATCCTTAGTAATGAAAAAAATGCTCTAAATTTACAAACCGTTCTTCACTTCTACTGTAGCTATGTACTATATTCATGGTTCTACTTGAGAAACCTCAGGAATACTTACGAAGAAAATAGAGTTTTTAATATTGGTGCCGAATGATCATCAGGAAGACTTCCAGATTTAAAATGAGGACTGAACTGGATCAGATGATTGCGGAGTACACCAACAGCCTCCTGTGCCTTTGGGTCAAGGCTAACTCTGAAACATGAACGCATGACTTGTAGAAAACTAGCACCTCCAATAGCTTTTCCCAAGTCTCAAAACAAGAAATCCTATTGCTCTATTTTAACTAAAATAACCATTTGGCAATTATTGTAACATACCTGAACACTATTACACTTCCTGGTGTTAAATTTTCAAATTCTATTTCTTGAACAAATTCATTTGGCCCTTTTATGGCAGTTCCAGCTTGCTTTATAATTTTACTGTCTTTAATCTTAGAAAAGAAAACATATTTGCAACTGAAATTTATATGATACATCATAAATGATAATATATTACAGCAGAGCATGGGAGAAAGAGGCCAGTTACCTGGATATGTTCCCTGAGTTCCACTGTGAAATTCGGCAATCCATTTATAAAATGCTCATCTTTTTTGTACGGGCTAGCGTTTCTCTCAATAGTTCTAGCCTCAAGTACTACTTCTTCAATTTTTCCTGGAAAAAAAAAGTTAAATGAATCATGTTGCAGTGGTTAAGATACTTTATGGGGAAACTGATTCTTTTGAAAACATGAAGCAAAACCAAAAAGCCTCCTACGAAACACACGTCTCAGCAGCACAACTAAACAACAACCAAACGTAACAAAACGCATGGAGAGGTGCTATGAACATTCCAGAAACATTCATTACACGTTCATCGGCTTTGGTGTATTTAAAACTGCAATTCTGTTGTTTTGTAATAAGTTACTCAGGAAATTAAACGTGGATTGAATTAGAACATGCCTTTTACTGATCATCAGATCTATTAGTTTCTCTATCATCTTTTAGCAGACTCTATTAGGCCAGTTTCCAAACTGCAGCTACAGGTGTTTTATTTTCAAAGCATAACAACTTATGTCAATATACAAACACTCTAGTTTTCTCTGACCTTTCAATAATTCACAAACTAAGGTACTAATCTTGCAGCCACTCGCGCATGTCTTAACAAATACGCGTGCACACACGTACACACTCGCGCGGCTAGGTATACTTAAAAGTCAGTGTGGAAAACTTCTCTTCAGAAACATTACCAGGTAAGATGTACAAGTTGCTACACATTGCTACCATAAAGTATAGTAAAAACACTGCATACTGCAATAATATTATCTACATATTATATATACACATCTATTTCTACATATATTTTCTACATATTAACTTATGCACTATGATGTGGTTTCTTACTAAGCTACGTTTTAAAACCGCAAAAATAGTTGCATATAAGAAAGCTGAATAGTAAAGACACCCACAAACACCATGAGCTTTTGCCTTTTTCCCCCGTATAACACTTTATAAATAATAATTTCCCCCTTCTCCCCCTGTACAATTAATCATTTTCCTCTGTTAATTAGTTCTTGCCCGTTCACAACCAGGAAGGTAAAGTAAAACACATTTTTATGGGAAGCTCAGAGCATGGAATTATATTCAGAATACAAGTGCCTTTAAAAACCCTAAAGGATTTAAGTCTATTATTTTTTCTTTAATCACTTGCGGTGCATACGTAACGGTACATATAAAAGGTGTGTTACACACAGACCATTCAGACATGCAAAATCAGTATGAGAAGTTTGAAAGTATGCAGTTGGAATGAATGGAATTTTCCATATACCTGTCATCTCTTAAAAATAAATCTGATTACCTGGGATACACATTTCAGGTACTTCTTTACTGTAGAAGGAAGTTTTAGGATCTCTGAAAGCAGTTCGACTTACAGCCACAACCGACTGATGCGTGTTAGGACAATGTCTTGTCACTGCCACTATATCTTCATCAACTTGATCCACATACACCTAGAAAAGACATACTGTAACAACTATGCTCACTCAGAAAATAAATATTGAGAATAAAGCAATGCTACCCTCACTTCTTGCCTGATTAAAGCCTTTAGCACCTAGCTCCTGATGCAGCCTGTTTATAGCCAGCCTTCCTGCCAAAATTCCTGTTTGGAAATTAGCTTCACCAGAAGTCAGCTGTGCTGCTGGATTCCACTTTGAATAAAACCTCTCTTCAGACACTACAGAAATCTGTAAAGAAATTAAGGTTTAAGCAATTATCAAAATTGGCTGGAGGTTCCAAATATATAATCAGTTCAAGCTGCACGTAAAATTTGACAACCCAAAGTAACGATGGCAAGTAAACGGCTTAGAATTTGAAAGAAATAACATTAAACTATATATCTCGGGACAAGAATAAAGTTCGCATTTTTTTTAAATGACTTAGACATTAATTGTAATCACAGACCTGGTGTGGTACTAGCTCATCATAGCCTTTGGTACTTCCTGTAGCACAGCATGCCATGGAAACAATCATTGCACTAGGAAGAGCATCGTATGCAGATCGGTGCTAGGTTAAAAAGTAAGTAAGTAAGTACAAAGTGAATCAAATACTTAATTCATTCTCTCCCAAATATGCATTCAACATATAGAAGACGTATTCAGTTTAACACAGGAACTTTTTGTTTATCACAAAATCATCATTTTCTCAATCACGGTACTGAAAAAATTACTACAGATACATTAACAAAAACAACGTAAGAGCAAGCCTCAAAACTAAGCACTCCACTTCCCACCATTCTTTCTCCCATTCTCTCCTGCAGAACAGGAGCTAAGGAGAACAGATGAACAGACAGAGACAGAACCACTTACGGTAGCTAGAAGGAAAGAATCAAACCAGCTCATTATTAAATAACTTGATATTGTTCTCCTTAAAAAGACAAAATTGTGAAAGTCAGCAAGAGTTGTTACAGAATGTTAGTCACTCCATGAAAACTTGAAGATCTGAAACACGTTTTTCCTAAATACCACTCAAATAAAATCCAGATTATACCAAGCCCTCCCACGGTTCAAAAACAGCAATTTAGGAAAAATTAAATGCAATACGCAAACCCAAGTGAAGTGCTCACCTGAATTGGACATTCATTATCATGTGTAATATCCATAAACAGTGCATGAGCAATAGCTGGCATCAAAGGTCTCAAACGTGGCTGAACAAAAGAGCCAACAGGTTCACCTCCAAAACGATACACTAATCTTCCCTCTTCGTGGCTATTATAAGCGGTCATTGCCTCTAAAGAACAAAATCTGTAAGTGTTTGCATGAGAATAACTACCACAGAGGATAGCATGCACAGAGATTGTGTTAACGCAACATTTTACATTTTCATCTTGGTGTGTTCAGTAATGGAAAAAGAGAGAAGTGGGGGGGCAGGCATTAAGTTTTATCCTCTAATGTGGATACGCAACCCGGAAGTATGCTGTTTATTATAACATATTAAGGTAGAAATGGATGGGGGGGGGAGGGGGGAAAGCAAAGATCGGAAACGGGTTCCTAAAAGGCTTTAAGAAACTCATGCAACAAAAATCATTTAGCAAGAGACATGATATAGCACTCGCATAGCAAAGCTGTGCTAAAACTTCTTTCTCTCTTGCTAGAATAAAGGTGAAATGTTTAACCTTCCCCAAACTAATGTAGGCTGTCTCCTCTTAATTTTCAGCTAATACTGTATTTTACTGATGAGTATCAAAAAAAAAAAAATCACAATACAAAAAACTGTACCTCTTAATTTCATACTGAGTGTAATCAAAGCACGTAACCCAGAGGGAACCTTTTCTTTGTAAAACGCATACATCTGTAATCTCTGGTGGGAAAGAAAACTACATACACAGCAAGCCTACCTCTTATTAAGGAGGTAATGCCCAGACTATTCACAAAGATATTGTCCAGCTCCTCATTTCCTGTGAACAGTTCAGCCACTACATACAAATCGGCTCGCAATTTTCTAGCTGTGTCCAGCATGTACTGCAAAAAGCACAGCCAAAAAAGCCACAGAAAGAGGAAAGGTAGACACAAAAAGGGACAAGTTTCAAAGCTAGGCAAGGATTGGACAACGGGAAAATGCCATGCAGCAAAGACAAACAGAAAGCCAAAATTAGGGAATGAAAAAATTATACACAAGATGATACGCAAATATAAGAAAAAAAATCAATAATTAGGACACAATACAGAAGAAGTTAAAAAGAACATGAAGGAGGAAAGATAACAGCATAAGCAAAGAAGATAAATATGCAAAAAAAAAAAAAAAAGAAAGCACATCAACGTTAGCTTCATGTTAAAAACTCCAAACCATACATGACAACCCTACGTAACTTTCAATTGCTTCTTGTACCTCTAATCAGGCTGGTAATTCCCAGGCGGTTGACAAAGACATTGTCAATGTACTCACTGCCCGTGAAGAGTTCAGCTATCACATAAAGATTAGGTCTGACTGATCTGGCTGCTGCTAGCATCTCCTATAGATCATAACACATTTTTAATGGAAGTTATCCATTGTCACCTGTGTATATGCAATCATTAACGTGAACATTAAGCAAAACACAAATGAGTTTTAATATATGCAGTTCATTAAGACAAAGTATAAGAGGTAACATTCATAAAATGACATTTGTCTTTTACAGAGATTATTTACTGATTGAATAATTCTAGGAAATTCTCAAAATACTAAGCTAATTACAACTTTGTTTTTAAATAAAAATTTGGCTCAAAATGCACGAACAGAGGTTGGGTAAGAGAGATGCCTTTTAAGGTAAGAAATTTCTGCAGGACTTCAGTTAAAGCCTTCAAAGTTACCATCCCAAAGATGATAAAAACAAGTGAAGGAATACCAGTGGCTTTGAAATAGCTGAATTTGAACAACCACTTACAACTCGTATGGACACATCAATTGATTTAAGAAGAGAGCTCTTCATAGATTTAGGTATGCTCTGTAACCAAGCTAAGACATTGCACTAGTGAGCTGCATTACTCAAATCAGTTTAAAATTAATTTTCTTGTGCAATTTCTGGATGTAGTCAAACCCATAGTAAGCAATAAGCACTAAACCTTAGCAACAAACCTGTCAGACTAAACTTTTTGCAGGTGTTCTTCACCAACTTTTAAATGCTAGAATGTAAACCACTGTCTGTTTAATCCAGCAATACAGAAATTAATATGGCAAATAAAACACTAATTCCTGACCAGAAGCAACATACTGGAGACTAGCAGTGACTGCATTTAAGTCCATATTTACGTGAGAGAAGTTGTTACCCAAACCAAATCAGTTCTTCAATTCTTGAGCTAAATGAGAGAATGAGAAGATACAATAGCTATACCGTTTTGCTAGCTGTTTAAAGTAGTTGAAAACAAGTCTAAACATCATCACTCAAGAAACCTTGTTTATGCTGTGAGGAAGCTTCATTCACATCTGAATTTTGTCAACTGGAATCTGCAGATTTTGTAGCAGCAGTGCAGGACTTATTTCATAGCCAGAAACTGGTTTATCATAAACATGCTTAACCTTGCGTACCTCAGCTACATGAATAGGGGTTGAGTGACAGTTGTCAAGACGAACACCATGGAAATATTTGGCAGTAATTTCAGTGTACTTTTTCATATGTGCCCAGAGGTAAGGACAATCTTCTGGTTTTTTACCATAACGCAGTTTCACACTGTCTCCCCAACAAATAAGCTCTCTCCTCATGTAAACATTTGAGCCTAAGGGAAAAGAATGAAGCTATAGTATAGGAATACATCAAAACGAAGATGTGGTATTTCATTTTCTACTGCTGAACAGTAGGGAAATGTAGTGATGAACTGTAAAAATTGTAACAACATCTGTATCATCTCAAAACCTAGGTACCGTACCCACACTAATCTATAATTTCAGATTACTTCGAGGGAATACTGAAGATCTATCCTGAGACTGAAATAATTTTTCATACTGAATTCAAATTCCATTTATTTCTTCAAAGCAGCACTACTGTCCTTGAGAAGAAGAAAAAAGGACAGCAGGTGTGGTGTATTCAAAAAACATGGTACTTCAACACCAGCTCTAGAAACTTTTTAGTAGTTCATAAAGCAGCAAACAAACAACAAAATCCATAATTCAGATGGTTATAATGATCAGATTCAAAAAAGCATCTTACTGCGTAACCATAAATAAACTGCCACAGCCACAATTTTTAAAGTTTAATCTGCTGTTAACAGTAGTTTCTGCTGATGCAAGGCATATTTCCAAAGCACTTTGGCAGCTGGCCGTTTAAGTAGACAAAGTCTCTAAATCGTTTTGGTGTGTATGAACATTTTTTACCCTTCATCTGTTCTAGTTTTATTTACTATTGGTTTTGCTTTCTTTTTGATGCAATCAATATACAAATCTTTAAATCTCAGTTTTTCTGTAATTTTAAATCTCAGTTTTTCTGTAATTTATTTTCTAAAGCAGATTCAACAAAACTCTTGGATGAATGCTTTTAATTAAGATTAAACTAGCCTTGGATTTGTTCAGCTTGCAAGTAAATGAACACTTTGAAAACAGACTTGCCAAGCTCACTCTTACTGGACGTCAAGACTGTCTCCAAAAGAAGATAGAGTGCAATATTTTAAATGCATGGCAAATTCATATCCTATCTTACCCTCACAGGGAGTCCCCATATTTAATTTGGATTCATTTTCTTGATCACTTTTGCATCCGTAAGTCTTATGAACCAGATGCTGAAGCTACTTCTACTGACAGGTCTGACATATATTCAGTGCCAGCTTGGAAGTCTCCCTTTAGGGAGAAACAGTTTGAGTAATGTTATCAATTAGCCAACTTTCAAGAGATTTTCTCCTTTTGATATTGAAATTAATATTTTCAGGTCAGTCATCAATAAACTCTTCCTTTGGGAGAAGGACAGGCCTCTCTGTTCTAATGTAGAATACAGGCCACAAAAGGACAGAAAATTAGATCAATCCAGGGGAATCTAGACACCGCAGAGAAAGACAGTCTGGTCCTGAACTGGAACTGAGGTTCAACATAGCTTAAAATATTAATTCATGTCATGTTTTTGTGACATGAAAACTAAAGATTAAAGTAACAATTTGCTTAAAGCACCAGCTAAGAGAACCAAAGGAAAAAAAATTAATCCCCAGTCTAACTTTGTTAAGAGTCAAATGTTACTTTGAAAAACCCTAAACCCCTCTTTCCTATCCTGAAAACAATCCAAAGAAAGTATTTCTACACACTCTTTACTCAAAACCCTACAATATGTTTAAGCTGAAAGAAAAAAAAAACAACTCAATCTTCAATACCCTCACACATAAAGATACTATTTATGAGCTAATTCTTCAGAAATTCATTATATGGCTGCTTCTTTAGAATATAACTACCAGCAATTTTACAATGCCAGTGCATTTATCACCGCCATTCTACCTATACAGTTAAGATGAGACACTCCACTACAGTGCGGTTCCATGGGTAGCTAAGGTGACCCACTCCTTCACTGCCGCTGCAAAAAGAGGCAAGAGTCCTCCACTGCCTCT